TTAGCATCAAGTTATCAGTCTGTGGTAAAGAGTTTTCTGTCATTGTTACTAAAACTCTTTAGAGTTTATTTTTTTATTATTTATAGATTAGCTTTAGTTGATCAATGTGCTGTAACAATGAAAGCATGACATTTTAGTATGAAAAAAAAATTACACCAATCCTACTATTTCCAAAAAATGATCAATTTACAAGTCAGATTTCCCATTCATGAGTGGTGTCACACTTAATGCACTGATGATTGGGTGAAATAAAATAAATTAGATCTCTGTCTCACATCAGAGATGAAGATCTATTTCAAGTAATTTCAGGCTCAACCACAGAGGAAAGTGTGAGTTTATTAATAAGATTACCTGAGTACTGGCTCAGAAGGCAAATACCGACGGGCTTAAACATGTTTAAACTAAGCACTTGTACATAGGTATCAAGTACATGGTGCATTAATGTTATAAAATTATCTGCTTGTATAGATTACACTAACGATATATACAACCCCCAAATCATTAGATCACATGCCCTCTTGATGCCTTTCCTTCTCTCTCAGAAGTCAGGCCACCATGAAGTCCGTTTCCCACTCCCTTACAGTTCTTTGTGACTCAGTTGTAGGTGTGAAAAATCCTCATTGCCCTGACCTTTAGACACAATAATAATCTTAAATCCTGTCTAGTCTCTGCCATTGCCTTGCTAACTTTTGGTTGTCAACTAGGCCAGACTAAATGTTGTTGCTTAGGCATTCACAACATACCCTTGAAAACCTATAAAGTATGGAGTTCCTTTTGGTTTTTCAGAAAAATGACTGGCTTGTTTCTTCCTTCAGGGCCCCTCTCATGGTATATTTGTCATCAGTTTTTCTGAATACTGTCTTACTTAACTCTCTTTCTCTTGATGTAGCTCCTTTCTGGTTTTTGAAGGTAGCCTTGCTGTCTCCCTTCAAGGAACCATAGCTTCCTCTGCTATTTTTCATCTGTAATTGTATTTCCATATTAAAAACTAATTATTTCTAAACTCACTGTAGTCCCAGGACTTTCTTAGTAAAGATCAATCTGAAATGTAGCTGACATTAGCTTATTTTCAAGAACTCTCCATTTCTGTCATTGTCTCTGTCTGTCTCTGTCTCTTCTGTCTCTGTGTCTCTGTCTCTTTTTATGTCTCCATTTTTGTCTTTATTGATCAATTTTGCATTCTGATAATTTCATACGTACATGTAATAAATTCTGAACACACTCTTCTCATACTGTCTCTCTTTGGTTTTTGTTGTTGTTTGAGACAGGGTTTCTCTATGTAGCCTTGGCTGTCCTGGACTCTCTTTGGAGTCCTGTCTGGCCTTGAACTCACAGAAATATGCCTGTCTCTGCCTCTCTGAGTGCTGGAATTACAGGCATGCGCCATTGTGCCCAGCTCCCATATAGTCTCTTATCTGTCTTCCATCCAAATCAATTTGTCTATTCCTTTCAATCACTTTGAAAGATCATTACTTTTAATTTTGCTTGGTGTCATATTTACTTTAATTAGGGCTGTGTGTTTGGAGGATTAGAAATATCCATTACGGCCTGGTGGCATTCCCACTTTCCTCAAATTATCAGTAATAAATTGCATAGCAGTGAGTTTTAGGCCCCCAGGGAGCCTTCTCCATTGATGGCTAATTGATGCTGAGCCATTTTTACAATGACCCAGTGCATGCATCTTCAGTAGTCAAGAGTCAGCGATTGCAGTGGCTGTGTCTTGCTCAGAAGATGGTATTTTTTTTGGCTCTTCTACCTTCTCCTCTTATGTGCTTTTCATAAAGTTCCACTATTACAACTAAATAAAAACACTACCACATATTTGCAAACCACACAATCAGCTCAGTACTATAATTTTATAAATTTTAAGAGATCATTGTAAGTAACACTAAGTATGTGAACTGAATGTTACCTCACATAAAATGAAAGGTATGATATTTAAATATGATTTAAACCCACAATATTATTAGAGTAGATAAAATTATTTGAATAATAATTTGCAAAACCAAAAATGCCTGTGGAGTTTAGGTAGCAGTTCATGCATTTATAAAACCTTTGTAAATACCAAATTATGATAAATTTAACAATATTATTTCCAAAATAAAAGTAAATTATGATCTCTTCACAAGGCATGGAGAATAATATTTAACACCCATGCTTACAATACCAGAAAATTAATGACTCAAACTTATCACTATCAGAATGTTTCATTTTCTTTACTGTTACTAAATTAAATATTAAACTATACAGAATGAAATGTACAAGGTAACCATTTCAATGAACAGCATGACTCACTTTGGATCTTAAAGATGAGAATCACAAGAGGACTCAGATTTATTAAAGGAGCCAGTTGTGGTCATGTGTGCCTGTAATCCCAGTACTCAGAGAAGCAGAGGCAGGCAGATCTGTGAATTATGGGCCAGCCTGGTCTACAAAGCAAGTCCAGGACAGCCAAGGCTACACAGAGAAACCCTGTCTCTAAAAACAACAACAACAAAAATCATTAAGGGTCTAATGATGTAAAAATGGGGTAAAAAGGAAAATAATGCAAAAAGGAGCACATTGAGCAAATAAGGTAATTCATGCCTAAATTGTAGCACTGTAAATCAGAAGGAGGTTTGGAAATTCAAGGTTAGGTAGGAAGACATATCAACATCTGCTCTTCTAAAGAAAACCATATCATCATACCAAATTACAAAAAAATTTTTTGTCAACGGGGGATAGTTTTAATTCATTAGGGTCTAAATAATATTATCTAAAAATGTACAAAAGTTCAGTGATGCACATTAGCAAGTGCTGGTTGCATCAATCTAAAAAAATAGATACAATTAGTCCTTTTAAAATAATTTTGTTTTATTTCTTTATCTGTCTTACAAAGAAATATATAGTAATACTTAAGACTTACACAGTGTTCTTACTGTAAGTGTTCTTAACTGTAAGATGAAAATTTTCATTTGTGGAAGTTACCTTATTCCAAACAAATAGCATTCATCTATATCTCAAATCAGCTAGTAATTTAAACCAATTTTGAGGTGCAGATTTAAGCCCACTCTAGATATATCTTGTGGATATGGAAGTTAAATATCAATGGCACAGAGAAACCTTCCCAATCTTTTGTCTATGGCACCATGCTAGGTGGTGACTGTTTCACTACCATCATTTGATGGTCTGGAAGAGAGTCAGTTGTTGAATGAGTGTATTGAATAGAGGACTGAATAAAACTCAACTCTAATTTCAATATACACATTAACCATTTTTGTAAATTGTCAGTAACTCTATTTGGTTGACTATATTAATTTGAGATTGCTTATTCTTTTTTTAAATATAATTTTTTATTTATCAAATTTATTCACCTTGTATCCATGCTGCAGCCCCACTCTTATTTCCTCCCAATCCAACCATCCCTCCATCCCTCATCTCTTCCCATTCTCCTTTCCCAGTCCACGGATAGTGGAGGACCTCCCCTTTCTATTCCTGACACTAGCCTGTCAGATATCACCAGGGCTGTCTTTCATGGTCTTCCTCTGTGTCCTGGTCAGGCTGCTCCCCCTTAAGGGGAACCCTTTTCCATTGCTGGTGGGAATGTAAACTTATACAACCACTTTGGAAATCAATTTGGAGCTTTCTCAGACAATTAGGAATAGTGCTACCTCAAGATCCAGCTATGCCACACCTAGGCATATATCCAAAACATGTTCAAGTACACACAAAGACATTTACTCAACCATGTTCATTGCAGCTTTATTTGTAATAGCCAGAATCTGTAAACAACCCAGTTGTTCTTCTACAGAGGAATGGATACAGAAATTGTGGTACACTTACACAATGGAATACTATTCAGCAATTAAAAACAAGGAAATCATGAAATTTGCAGGCAAATGGTAGAAACTAGAAAAATTATCCTGAGTGAGGTATCCCAGAAGCAGAAAGACACACATGCTCTATACTCACTTATAAGTGGATATTAAACATAATAAAATCTGTACACCTAACAAAGCTAAGCAAGAAGGAGGACCCTGGGTGAGATTGCGTATTCTTGTAAAATGAAATTGCCGGCAAGGGAAAGTTTCAGGTGTCACAAAAGTATCTAGAGCCACTGATATTTAATTAGAATAATGACATAAAATATGACAGATATGAGGATTGCTTGAAACCGTGTCTCCTAGAAATGTGAAAGATGTGACAACACCCGTAGAGTCTCATTGCCATGGCTTGCCTGAACATGACCTGACCAAGAGTGACACCAATAGACATGCTAACATGGAAGAGGGAAATCTTACAAGTCCTCAACCCTACACAAATTACTATGGAAACTAAGCAACGCTGAGCACGAAACTTGCTTTCTTTAGGGAAGAGAGCCCCCAATTTATTGTCCAATACAACAAAATCAGTCATAAAATTATGTACTTACAAAAAATGTCATACAGGCTGAGCAAGTAGTATTTATATATTTATGGATATATATATATATATCCACATATGTAGAAAATTAGCATATCTAACTATGTATAAACCAATGTAATTATATTTTAATTTAAAAAGATAAATAAAATATTTTTAATAAAAGTATCAGCTATTGCTTCCTCGTGCATGAAAACTCACTTTTTTGTGACACAATATAGATAACTCTAGGATTGAATTCACAGGGATCTAACTATGAAATCAGGTGGAAATCTTTTTCCAAATATTATGAGAATGTTGATGGAAGATAATGTCTATACCATATATACTTCTGAGATTTTGCCCAAAATGTTTTTGATAAAATTTGAACCTCTGTGTAAACATTTCCTTCTGAAGAAACTAAAAGATTTTTTTTTTTAGAAAAGCATATATTAAATCGCAGAGTTAAGCATATAGAAATGTCTGGTTTCAAATCACATCAAAATGCACATCATTACTTTGTCTGTTACTTGTTACATAAAAGTTACATGACAAAGTATCTTGATTCATCAAGTGCTATGTAAATTTTCCTAAAAACTGTGATATAAAATGATTATTAATTATAAAAGAGATGCTATCCTATTAACAATTTTCCTGAAGGCTTTCTGCATGTCTTTGTTTCTCAAGCTGTAGATAAAGGGGTTCAGCATCTGAGTGACCACAGTGTACATCACTGAAGCCACTACAGTCTTTCTTGGAGAGTCAGTAAATGCAGAGCTTATGTGTACCCCAAAACCTGTGCCATAGAACAGAGACACAACTGATAAGTGAGACCCACAAGTTGAAAAGGCTTTATACTTTCCTCCCAATGATGACATTCTTAAAACTGAGGATACAATGCGAATATAAGACAAAATGATCCCAAAGACAGGAACACCAAAAAATAGAACTGACACTGTATATACCAGCAGATAATTGATAAAATTTTCAGAACAGGCAAGTTTGATGATCTGAGCCAGCTCACAGAAAAAGTGAGGTATTTCAGTTTCTGTGCAGAAGGAGAGCAGCAATACCATCAAAGTGTGAAACAAAGCATGCAAAGAGCTAAGGAACAGGGAGAAGAATAGCAACATCATAGAGAAATATTGATTCATGATAACTGTGTACTTCAGAGGGTGACAGATAGCAACATAGCGGTCATAGGCCATCACTGCAAGGAGACAATTTTCTATGCCAGCAAAATTCAAGATGAGGTAGACCTGAGAGAGGCATCCTGTGTATGTGATGGTCTGATCCTGAGCTTGGATATTCACCAACATCTTTGGAATTGTGGTCGTGATTAAACAGATGTCATTAAAGGACAAATTAGAGAGAAAAAAATACATGGGTGTATGTAGTTGGGAGTCAGCGTTAACAGCCAGTATGATGAGCAAGTTTCCTAAGGTGGTAATCAGATATATGGACAGGAAGAGGCTAAAGATGAAAGGCTGCAGAGCTGGGTCATCACTAAGCCCCAGAAGAATGAATTCTGATACAGCTGTTTGGTTGACAGCCCCCATGGTGTTGAGTATTCAGAAAGAAATTGAAAAAGTAAGATGTTTGGATAATCAACTTTACAACCTTGTTCTTTGAATTCTAGAGTTCATATTTATTAGTAAATGCCTTTCTTCTGTTAACCCATCTGTTCTCTGATGCTTGCTTACAGAATCTCTAGCAACGAATCCTTCAATGAACCCTCTCCTCAATGTATGAACTTGTAAGCTTTAGTAGCAAACATCATGTTCTAATGAAAACATTTTCTTATTTCAGCAGGAATTTTGTACGATTCTTGCATGGAGCATGGGACCACCCCAATGATGCTGATCAGCAGCAGTGCAGATGTGTATAAGCATATGTCAGGTTGAGAGCAGATATTGGTATGAGGTTTTACAACATTCATTCCACATTGCGCCTTATTGTATATTTCTTTATAGACTCCTCACTAATAACCAAGGTGATAGTCTACTGATAAAGTTCATCTACTATCCCACACATTTGCAGAGGGATTTTAGTTGTCTGGAAAGACTCAAGAGGAGTCATGATGAACATCTCACCTAATTGTTGATCATAGATGTGTTCTTGTGAAAGTCATCATAGCAGGTTCAACTGATTCTTCATTAAGGAGGATCATTTGTAAGAAAAGGCTGGGTCTCACTTTATGGCTGGCATAATAAACTTAGAGTAATCACAGACAGACTTCTATACTTTTTTGTGTCCCTGGAGCTCAATATTCAGGGCTTTTAATTATATTCGCTATGGAATGCCACTATAATCTCAGGTGTACAAATCCTTAATGACCAAGTCTACTGAAAGGAAGAATTCAGCTTTATTGGTTTCTTATCCAACCCCCAAGGCAGTGTTTTAATTCTGTTCCTACCTAATGTTTCTGATTATATAAATTATTGATCTTGCATTCAAAATATGAATACAATTTCTATAATGAATCTCTGTGTTGTTTTCAGACAGTAAGAGGGAACTTTATGTAATAAGTGTATTTGGAAGAATTGATTCTTATTTTTTAAACTTTTTATTGCTTCTTTGTGATTTTTCAAAACATACACTTTAATCCCACTCATTTCCCAACCGGTACCACCTCTCCCCAACAGAGAAAACAAAAATCTTGTTGAAGTTGTAATGTGTCACAGTATGTCCCACAGTATTCTCTTTTGTCCACACTTATTTGCTTGCAAGTTTATTGCAATGACTCATTGGACTGGTACAAGGCCTCAAGCTTCTGCTACTCTATCAATCCTGGAACTTCACTGGGACTCCACTCTGATATCTTGTTGTTGCTCTGTGTCATAGAGATCCTTTAGTTTTAGATATGTAATACTCGATTCTTCATGTACTCCAGAAGTTCATTGATGGCACAGATGTTGAACTGAGTCAATGCAAAGCCTAGGATCTGGGCCTGAGAGTTATCTGAGCTGGTCATCCCACTCTCATGCCTTTGGGGCCGGCTCATCAGCAACCTGCACTACCAGGGCCAGCTCTACCCTGCTGCCTAAGCAAGGTGCAAGGCTCACTCTGGAGTGTTGCAGTTGCAACACTCTCATGGCCCTGGGGCCATCTCGCCTCTCTGCCATAGAGTGTGAGGGATGAAGGAGTGCAAGTAGTTGTTTCTCTCTCATCTACACCACCCCAGGCAGACAAGAGGGACCATGGAATTTTGGGTATTGGCTTAAAGTTTAAAGCACAAGCCTGAACAAAGGCTAGCCAGGTGGAGACATGTCCAGCCACCTGCGGGGAAGAACCAGCTCTACTGCATTCTTTTCCTGCCCACTAGAGCTATAATTGCTAGGAAACTGGCCCCTCTTCCCTAGGAATGGTTTGGAACCCCTCCTAGAGCCAATCAATTCAAAATGCAGCATTCCCTTTTGTGGATGAACCAATAGATGCTTGCCAGACAGGAATCCTCCTGCTTTGGGCACGCTGGGAGAGACCGGACTCTTTAAATCACGAATTAGGCACAACAAAATCATTAAATTAGAAACAAAGAGAACAATACAAAAAAATCAATGAAACTTAGAGATTGTTCTTTGAGAAAATCAACACTGCCAACACCCACGCCAGTGTCGCCATAGTAGCATAAGCTACAGGGTGGGGGGGTATGCTTTCTCCGGAAATTCGCCCCCTGGAAGGTTCCTGGTAGACTCATCCCACTTGGAAAAGAGACGTGTTCTGAGATTTCTACACTTTTTCAGTTGTGGCTCTGGGGCTGGAATAATGATTCTTTGATCTTTCTCTGTGACTCCTGAAACAACACAACTAATTTTATAAAGAAATTTATTATTAATAGATTGTTAAAGGCTTTAATAAAAATAATAAGTTTAAAAAAGTAATGAATTAGATTTAGTATTAATAAGCATTAAGAATAGTGAAAAATAATAGGCTCCTTCTTAAGAAATAATAGCATGAGAGGTGCAGCTGGCAGGAGTTTCCCCTCCCTTCAGTGCCTTGTTTCTAAGGAAGATCATAAATCTTTAGCAGGACATATGAGAGGATGGTTAACAAAGGTGTAGTTAGATTTTGATACAGGGAAAGACTTTGGCAGGCATCTGACTTAGCTCCTGACTTTCCTCTTCACTGGTTAGCAATAATGAAACTGCATTTGAGGTTTCTTTTTCTTTGTTTGCTCTGATCAAAAAGTTTTTAGGCCAAGATTTCTTGTGGGCACTGCTTTATGTTTGACTGCATTTTGAGTTAAAATGTAAACTTTGTATTCTTGGTAAAAGTCTGAATGTTCTGGGAAGTATGCCAATTTTAAGGTGCCTTTTGTGGAATCATTATAAAAATACTAGCTTGATTTCAGTAAAGTTGCAGCAGAGTCAAAACCATCAAGGTGTCTCTGTCTGTCAATTCATATCGCCGAAACCGTGTCTTCCTGTCCAAAGCCTTGTTCTCCCGCAGACGATGGGAGCCCGACTGGGCCGGTCCATGGCAAACACAATAGACAAACCCTTAGCCATACTAAATAAAGACAGAGAAACAATATAAAAAATTAATAAAATCAGAAATAAAAAGGGGACATTACAACAGGCACTGACAGAATCCAAAGAATCATTAGGTCTTACTTCAAAAGCCTGTACTTCATAAAATTGGAAAATCAAAATGAAATGGATGGATTTTCTTGGTAGATTTCACTTACCAAAGTTAAACCTAGATCAGCTTAACAATCTAAATAGTTCTATAACACCTAAGGAAACAGAAGCAGTCATATAAATTCTCCCAAACAAAAAAAGCCCAGGAACAGATGGTTTCAGCTTATACCAATGCTCCTCAAACTATTTCACAAAGAAGAAACAGAAGAAACATGCCAAATGCATTCTATAAGGCCACAGTAATTCTGATACCTTAATAACACAAAGACCCAATAAAGAAAGTGAATCCAAGAACACATCAAAAACATCATCCACTGCGATCAAGTAGGTTTCATCCTAGGGATGCAGGGATGGTTCAATATATAAAAATTCATCAACATAATCCACCATGTAGACAAACTGAAAACACAGGATCATCCATTAGATGCTGAAAAAGCCTTTGACAAATCCAGCACCCCTTTATGTAAAAAGTCGTGGAAACATCAGGGACACAAGATGCATACCTAAACACAATAAACACAATATACACCAAGCCAATAACCAACTTAAATGAAGAGAAACTTAAAGCAATTCCACTAAAATTAGGCTGTCTACTCTCTCTGTATCTCTTCAAAATAGTACTTGAAATTCTAGTTAGAGCAATAAGACAACTAAATAAGATCAAGGGGGTATAAATTGGAAAGGAAGAAGTCAAAATATTGCTGTTCACAGATGATAGGATAGTATACAGAAGAGACCACAAAAATTCTATGAGAGAACTCCTACAGCTGATAAACACCTTCAGCAAAGTGGCTGGATACAAAATTAACTAAAAAACAAGTCAATAGGCCTTCTGTATACAAATAAAAAATGGGCTGAGAAAGAAATTAGAAAAGCCACAAATAATTACAATAGCCACAAATAATATAAAATATCTTGGTATAGCTCTAACCATGCTAGTGAAAGACCTGTATGTCAAGAACTTCAAATCTCTGAAGAAAGAAATTGAAATAGATATTAGAAGATGGAAAGATCTCCCATGTTCATGGATTGGTAGGATTATCATAGTAAAAATGACCATCTAACCAAAAGCAATCTACAGATTCAATGCAATTAAAATGAAAATAGCAACACAATTCTTTACAGAACTTGAAGCAACAATTCTTACATTCATATGGATAAACAAAAAAACCCAGGATTAACACTTAAAGAAATTCTCAACATCCTTAGTCATCAGTGAGATTCAAATCAAAACAACCCTGAGATTTCACCTGACACCCATCAGAATGGCTAAGATCAAAAACTCAAGTGACAACACATGCTGCAGAGGATGTGGAGAAAGGGGAACCCTCCTCCATTTCTGGTAGGAATGTAACCTTGTACAACTGCTGGAGCCTGCTGGCAGAGTCAAACAGTTCTTGAGTGGGGAGTGAGGATTGAAAGAAAACAAACAAACAAACAAACAAACAAGACACTACAAGTGGGATCTGTTTGCGAGGACTTTCAGTAGAAAACTAGGCATTCTGTTTATTATGTAGTCCCTTTTTAGAGTCAGAGCAAAGCACTTTGATACAATGAAGTTCATTGAAAAGCCAAACTTGTTTACCTTGATAGCCTGTCTGTGTGATCCTCACACAAACAAAAGGAAGTGAACTTGACAAAAAATTTGCCTACTGTCACAAACAAAAAGAAGTGAACTTGGCAATACATCCTGTCTATACCTGTCTCCAGGTGAAGGCCAGGGTGAAAACATGTTTTTCACTGAGAGCTCCATAATAAAGCATCCTGATAAATAAGCAGCTCTCCACATACAACCACTTTGGAAATCCATCTGGCACTTTCTCAGAAAATTAAGAATAGTGCTACTTCAAGATCCAGCTATACCACTCCTATGAATACTTGCCAAACATGCTCAACAATACAACAAGGACATTTGCTCA